ATTGACAGCTCTCCTGTCCCCATGTTGAGAGAAATCAGATGTTACTGTAGTTCTAAAATAAATATGTATATTCATTAATTCATCTCACTCACAAAAACTAAACACAGATTCAGTATTCCTCAAATGAATAAAAATAATGCAACTCAGAATATGACGCAAGCCTGCAATAATTAAATGTTAAACACAAATATCCTTTATGTATTTATTCCCATTATATTAACCAATGTCTTTGCTTCTGACCTTCGATGATCCAGTTCAACCATACTAATTAGCAAAAATTACTCTAGACGAACATTTGTGTGTTTTTTTTTATTGCTGAAGTGTGTATATTTCTTCTTCTGCATTCTACTGTAAGGACGTAAATTTACTTTCCCTTCAGCCTGAGGCTTATTCATTTCACTTTTGGTGTGAAAAGGCTTTTATATTTGCCAAAAATATAACTTTTTTATTTTAAAAACAAACAAGCAAGCCCTGTCCAGATTTAAAAAGTAGCGCAAAAGTAACGTAACGCATTACTTTCCATAAAAAAGTAACTAAGTAACGTAATTAGTTATTTTATGGAGTAATGCATTACTTTTAAAAGTAACTTTCCCCAACACTGGTGGAGACTGCAAGACCTGAAGTGGGTGTGTCAGATATAGGGAGAATTTGTGACACTGAACCTGTTAACTCCATTTTTCAAAAGGTCAGATGTTTTTGTTTTCATTGTTGCACAAAAGATGCTTTCAGGCACATTCTTGCTGGAGAACATGCACCATCTGCTTTTCCACAAACATGTGGAGTCCTATAGTGGCAAATGAAAGCTTAATTACAGATACTGCTGATGTTTTTTTCAGGCGTATTTGTCCCGAGATGAGGCCCAGGCTCAGATTGCACGTAGTCTCGCAGAGAAGGACGTGCTAAGAGGCCAACTCATGGAGCTACAGGCGAGGGTTTTCGCCATGAAAGCCTGTAGCAAGCAAAGAGAAAGAAGAGAAAAATCCATGGTAACATTGACTTAAATTCAAGACCCAACATACTGTAATTTACCCCAATGATTCTTTAGAGCAGTTTTAAATATTGTGCTGTCAAATGCATCTGTAACCTAAACACAAGCACACATAACTTTATATTTAAAGGGGTCATGAACTGAGAAATCAAAGTTCCCTTGATCTTTTGACATATAAGAGGTCATTGTACTATAAAAACATCCTGTAAGTTTCAGAACTCAAAACTTTCTCGTTAGTCTAAAAACAGCTTAAATTGAAGCCAATCTGCCAAAATATTAGGTTGTGGAATGTGCCACTTTATGACGTAATAGTGTGGCTAAACACTGCCTCCGCAGAAGAAGATCAATGCCTGCTTCTAGATCACTGCCTGTTTTGCCCTGCCCACAGATTAGCGCATGTAGTGTAAATAACGAGAGAGGTAAAGTTCCAGACCTCGTCAGTAAGAACTTGGTCCTTTGTTGTTTTATTACGTGGTCACTGTTGCTTTGTCTGTTATTACTGTTCATTTGATATGTACTAAGTATTTATACGTTTTTTACCTAAATCACAGCAGCATCTGTCTGTGAAGTATGTAGGCTGTCAAACATGCATAACTGTTAGTCAATCATACCAGTGGGTGTTTACTTCTGAGTCTACAATCCGCCACACCTATTGAAAC